TTGGACAAAATAGATCTCAACGTGTTTGTTGTTTTGAATGTTGTTAAAATTTAATTAAAATTAATTCAACATTTTAAGCTAATTATCGCTTAAAATGTTGAATTTTCACATTTTGTTGGTTGGTTTGGTTTCGCTAATCACCATTATTTTTGTTCTTTTTAAGAGTTATTGTCAGTCCCATTGCTTCACTTGCATTATTAACTCTGTCTAATATATATTGTAAGTCTTCCATTTTTTCTGCTATCAGAACGGTTCGTCTGCATACCTGATATTGTTACTATATTTACCGTTTATTTTAATACCAATTTAGGAGCCGTCTAGTGCTTGCTTGAATATACATTCAGAGTATAATTAAAGAGCAATGGAGACATGATACAGCCTTGTCGGACACCTCTTTGTATACTGACGCGGTTAGTAGTGTGGTTGGAATATTTCAAGGTTTCTTTTTGATTCCAATAAAGGTTATGAATTATGCGGAGATCTTTTGTGTCTAGCTCCATCTTCTGTAGGTCATACAACAATTTTTCATGCTGGACTTTATCAAAAGCCTCCTGGTAGTCGATAAAACAGAGATATACTTTTTTTTGTGATCGAGGCATTTTTGAGTGTTTGAGTCGTAAACAAGGCCTCTCTTGTGCCCAAGGCCTTTCTGAATCCAAAGTGAGAGTCACTTATGCCAATTTCACATTTTTTATAAATTCCATTCTGTGTGACTCATTAAGATAATGAGCTTAAATTCATCGCATTTGCAGGAACTAGATTTCTTTGGTAGAGCTATGAATTCTGAGTTAAACCATTCCTTTGGTATTACTCCACTTTCATTTAGGTTGTTAAAAAGATGTCTTAGTAGTTTTATTTCATCTGGTCCACAAGCTTTCAAATTATTTGCATATTGTTCCGCATGTTTTAACTCTACGTCTAGGATTCTTCCTTCCATCTGCCACGTCGTCTGTTGCAATTCAGGTCTGTCATCCGCAAAGGATTTTTCGATAAATTCCTCCAATACTTGAATTTTGTCGCTTCTTTTTATACTTATTCTTCCTTTTTTGTCATCTGCATTAGGTATATTATGTTTCTTGTTATTATTGGAGGTTTCCTTTAATTTTTTGTAAAGGTTGAGTGTATCATGTTTAATTTTTAGATTTTCTATTCGCCACATATTTCATTTATCTACTATTCTTTTGCTTCTTTGATTTTTGAATCTATGGTTCTTTGGATGTCTTAATATAGATGTGGGTTGGTTTTGTGCTTTCTTCTCACTTCCTTGAGTTCCAAAATATCTTCCGTCATCAATTTTTTTTGCTTTCTTACTTTCTGTACTCTTAAGTTCTTCTCTTTGTACTCCAACTATGGAATTTTTTATGGTTCGCCATATACTTTCTATTTCTTCGTCTCTTGTTATGGTTATATTGGACTTCTTTAGTTTGTTTCGGCGTATTGTTTTAAGTTTTTATCTGAGATTGGATATAACGACTGGATTCTGGTCTGATCCTACATCCACACCTGGGTAGGTTTAAATGTGGATAAAATAAATCAATTTAAGCCTGAGTGAGTACTACTCAGAATTGTAAATGCCCCCCCCCCCATAACTCTAGTTAATATTGTTACATAGCTGTCCTAGTTGCATGACTCTGCATTCACAAATTTAAGTTTGTCTATCGATGAGCATTCAATATGACAAAAAATATGCAGGTTAAACGAAGCCAGCCTAAATTAGCCTCCAGTATTTTTTTGATATATATATATATTATATATATATATATATATATATATATATATATATATATGTAACTTAGAGCTAAGATTAATATTATTACTAAAATTAATATCAAACTCACCAGTCTTCCGGGTTGAACCGCGTCGATATCCATTTGCCGAGCTTTCGGCATCCTCTCTGATGCCTTCCTCAGGGCTTCCGAGGTCTCAGTCTCCCGAGCCCCCAGACACTACTACACTGTTCACTGTTCACTACGCTGTCACTACTGTACACTGTCCATAGTAATGTTATCATCTTTATTTATTATTCTGTACATATATTCTTTTCGTGTTCTAAGTATTGTATATGTCTGGTTAGTATATCTACATACAAGTCGTTGTTTTTTGAGGGAATCCATTTCTTTTTCCCCTTTTTAAAATCATCTTAGTTCTTTCTAATTTTATAGAAAAAGTGGTACAGTAGGCGATATTGTACACTAGCATGAAGCTTCATACTAAATATTTTCTGTATTTTTAAAATTGAAATCATATTTTTAAAACTGAATAAAGTTATTTTATTTTTTATTTATTATTTTTTTATAGATTTTTTATAGATATTAATAAAATTGAAAAAGTTTACATGTAATATAACGGATTCTCCTCGTCGCGTAAATGGACCCTTTTAACTGTTTACTATGACTGCCAACCACGAACCGCTATTTCGTTCTGGGGCGCAACTTTCGTGACGCTCGCCTCAGAATTTTACTGTAGAGAAAAGAAAAAGTAATACAACGCTAGTATTGAAGCTTTGCTTCAAAAAGTATGGTAAAGTGAAAAAGCTTGGGGAGGATTGGGTATCTCAAAACTAAAGGGCAATGGCAGAAACCTATGTAATGAAGAACAGCTTCACTTCAAACTGAAATCTTTAAAGCGCTTTTTGCTTTACAAAATACTAACAATAACGTAGTTGTAGGAGGTGAAGTAGCCTATACCACAAATTTTTCCGAAAAAGACTATAAAATAAAAATAAAAAAAATTTAAAACCTGTTGGTATAGAAGTAAAATCAGAAAAGCTGAACGACGTAAAAAATTCTACCGGAAAGCATTTTGGTCTTAAATGGGGCAAAGTTTTCAGTTTATCTTGGTACTCGAAGTTATTCAGAACGTCAGAAGCACCTGAATATTGGCTCTTCAGGATGAGGAGAGCGAATATCATAGTATAGATGAGAAAAAAGACTTGTTGGTGAAGACCTATTTCACATAACTCAAAATTTTCATGTGTATTCAATAAATTAAAAATGTGTGTCAAAAATGGCTCTTTTCGGTTACGTTAGTTACAAAAACGACTGAAACACAACAGGTTCAAGGTCAACTTTAAAGCTTATTATAGGTTAAACCATTTAAATGAATTAATGAAACTTTCAGACCTGACTAAATACAGTAGTAGAAAAATAATAAAAAAAGAAATCAATGTACCAGCTAGTAAAATTTAAGCGATACAGAAAATTGCTCTTTATAAAAAAAATTTTTGATGGTGTATAATAATTATCTTTGTTATTAGTCATGTTATTACTCATTTAATTTAATGTATATCAATGTAATAATAATGAGTTAAATTATACGAACCAATATTTTATTTTTAAAATTTATTATTGTATAAAAATGTTATTGTTTCTCAAACAGGACTTCGAGGAAACCAAAAGTGGGTCAAAGACACTCTTAAAGTATAAGAAACAAAACTGTCTTGGGTTTTTCTCTTATGTAACGTCTTCAGATAATGGCTTGCATATGAAATACGTATCTACTTCGAAACGTGAATGAAATCATATCGAGGACAGGGAATCCCAACGACTATATCATAACCTCAATGAAATTCATTATTGTTACATAATTGTAAATATTATTAATAAACAATAGTTATTTTGGTATTGTTATCTAGGTTGTTAAAAATAATAAATCAAGTTTTGTAAAAAAGATACTATTATAAAATTAGAAACTATATTATTGGAAGCAAAATATAACTGAAAATTGTAATAACATTTATTAATCATTTATATGGGATATTGTTTGTATTATAATTATAAATTTCTTTGAGAAATATACTAAATTGAGAATAAAAAACGTTTATCGTAACACATTTTACCTACGTAAATTTAATTCTAAAATTATCAGAATATTAGAGTATCGCAGGAAAGGAATTTAAATTAACAAAAAAAAAATCGAAAAAGCAGACAAAACAGAAACAAAAATAGAGAAATATAGAACAAGAATTGAATACTTCGAAGTCATGACTATTTCCCCATCTACTTGATGATGCAATGGACTGTATTTTTCGTGCCGCAGTTTTTGTCCAATGTATGCTGCCTTGAGTACTTTTATTGTTCTTAACAATTTTTTGGCGATTGGCGATTGGAGCCAACGTTGGGTCAACTGTGTTCCCACGTTCAGTGAAGCATACACACATTGGGTTGAGTATTGGGGCGATATCAGTCTGTTCTGTCTGTCTGTTAAATTATGTGCAAATAGTATAATTATACGCCGATTGGAACACTGCTCTAGCGCCAATGTGTGGTCGGCATCACCAGTATTGGCGCCAATCCCTTTGATGTGTAAGCAAAAAAAACCGACAGTCAACGAAAAACTCCCAACGTTGGAGCAAGTCATAAAAACGTTGGCGCCAACATTGGCCCAACACAGTTTTGTCGGTACACAAATTGGACGAACGCTGTTGAGGACAACGTTGGCCCCCATGTGTGGAGCCGGCGTTAGAGGTAGTGGATTATCTAAACGGCTATGACTCATGCATGCGCAAAGTAGGGAAGAATGGGCCACGTTGAGACATTATATTATATATTTTTTATGATATACGCTGTTTATAACCGATTTTTTTAGTTCAAATTCAAAATGCAATTATTGAATCTATTTATAATCAAACAAAATAACAGTTTTTTGTAATTATAAACTAGTTTTTTTTATACAATATTTTTAAAAACACTTTTTTGTCCCAAACTGGCCCAAGTAGTGGGCCAGTTTTAGATAAATCCAAAACAACTAAAATTCATTAAAAAATTTGGTATATATTTTTAAATATCAAATGATACATATAGGTACATACTGCAACAAAACGAGTTAAATCAAAATTCTCAACGAATTGTATATTATCGAACTTGACGCCAAATGAAATAAAGAACTTCTGACGTTTTGCACTTCCCCAATTAGTGACAGCACATATCTAACGTCACTTTTATTAACATGCGATATGCCCTCAACAGCGAGAAACAAAAATGTGTTTCACTTTTAGCACTATGTCGCAAAAATGTGACTTTAAAGTCGTTGTTGTTCACTTTAATAATTTTGGGTGTAAGTATAAAAAACTGATTTTTGTAAAACGAAATTCTACCAGTACCTACATAAGAATTAATCCCTGGCAAATCCTGGGATTAATGCTTATTCTAATAACTACCAAACTCAAAATCTGTAGGCATCTGAGGAATCAGAGACAAAATGAATCAGTGTCAGTGTCACTGGATGAGGTAGTGCAACAACTGAGGTACTTACTTACTTAATTTTCTCTTTGAGTTTTTAGAGAGAGCAATTTCTTTCTTTCTTTTTTTATGATCTTTTTCCTCGGTTTCTAACTTCTCGGACGTATCAGTTACAATTTTGCTTCGGCATCATTTTGAGATTTTTTTGCGGTTCTACTATGGAATAACCAAACAATAGTTCTGGACTTTTAAAGAGCTGATGTTTCTCCTAAATTTTAACAATTTTTTCATTGTGAAGAAAACCGGACTCATTATTTGTCGAATTTTTTTTTGCAGCTTGGCTGACATTCTTTACGATTCGTATCACTCTCCTCTAATATTTCATTCCTATCGGTTACGCTACTAATCAAAAAGGCACTCTTATCGAAGACGTATTGATTAAAAGATAATATTCTGTATTTTTTGAAATCTGTCTTTATGTTACTGGGGTCATTTATTTATCAAATCATTTTTTATCAGATATCAGAATCAGTCGGTCAGATAGCTCAGCGGGCTGTGCGGCTGCCTCTCATTCGCTTCACTGTCGAATGGTTTAGTGGATGTGGGATCGAGCCCAAGCTCGGTGTACAGAAAACAAAAAGTCTAACGCAGCAGTTTAAAATTCTAGATGAATCTGCGGCTTAGACTAGGATATGCTGGGATCGATCGGCCTATGGTGGAGCAGTACGGCAAGAGATAAGGGCTTGCGGTTCGGTGATACTCCTCCATAGATCCCTACCGGACAGGCGTAACGCCTAAAAAACCGGATATATATATATATATATATATATATATATATATATATATATATATATATTTTTTATCATCGATGAGTCTATAGCACTGTAATAGTATGTTTTAAATGGAAGATAAACAGATCCAGTGGCTGCGATTTGTTGGAACAATGTAACGGTAAAATGCGTATGGTAACTCCGTTGTCTTTTGCTAAATTTAAAGTCTCAATAGAAAAGTAATGTTGGAGTTGTTTCGTAACTGTTTGAGTAGTGTTGTCTAAAATGTCGCATAACAGCTACAAAGAATTCAGAGTTCATCCATCCTGAGCGATTTACAAGTCCTAATGTAGCAGCAGGTACTCCTTTTAACATGTGATGCTTAAAATTAACTCTTGGGAAGGTCATGACAGTAAATAGAGTAGTTCCTGAAACGTTATACTTTTGTAAAATTTACTCACCTGTTGAAGTTATAATGCAGAAGTTTGTAACCAATATACCTCTCTCGATGCTTGTAATTTTATTGATTTGTTTTACACTCCTTGGTGCAAGATTTTTGATGACTTATGTATAGTTGTAGTCGATTTAATATAAATTGAAAATGCGAGTTTCAGAAAATCTATCAGAACGCTTCAAAACCTCCACTAAAGTTTGAAAAAATGCATCCATATCACAACGATTAAATGATGTAGCCTTAAATAAGCTGTTGACAAATAGTGAGTTCGGGATGTCTCTTTCTGAAACCATGAAGCTGGTCAAGTCCGGCAGACTTCATTTCTGAGGCATATGAATTTTGTTATACAGACAGAGTTTGTAAGCCAGTTGCCTCACGTCTTTTGTAGACTTTCCGTAACAGATTTTGCTGCAATGTATTACGTAATTTTCAAGCAATATTTTTTGTTCATTATTTAATACCCTTAGAGTATCGTAAAGGGGTTAATACAATAATACATTATGGGCCACCTTGAAACAAGTCCCATTGTGCCCCAAAACATTTGGCTCAATGAAGCGCACAATACATTATAAGCAAAAGTTGTTAATATTGTAATACATCTTGCAAAAGCAAAACAATCACAGCAGCAGATAATACACTTAAAACAACCTTCACATTTCGTGCATCTGTTTTTATCAATTTTTAGTAGAATTTTTAAAAGGTGGCACACAAGGCTGTAGTTATTACATGTTCTGTGAATGTTAATTTTTGGTAGAGGTATAAATATTGATTTAATGCTTCTAACAATTCAATTCAATTTAAAATTTGATCTGAGGCCGGTGCATTTCCTGGTTTAGCATCCTGTATGGCCTACTATACTTCCGAGGGTAGATCTTTGTAGCGTCTTGTAGTTATTGTTTTTATTTACTCATATCTTGTTCTTTTTTCTCTCATTATCGAATAGTTACATAATATATTGTCCTCTCCTCATACGTCCTTTATTTTATTCTCTTCTGTAATTATTCCTTCATTGTTATCTCTTGTAATTAATGTTTTTCTTTGTCTGTTGTTGCCTGTTAGTTTTTGAAGTTTTTTATATGTAGGTTTAAAGTGTCTTATTTGTTGCTGAGTTCTTCCAGTTTCTGGCATTTCTTTTCTATCCATTTTTCCTTAGCCGGTCTTATTTCATATTTTGTTTTATTTTAAAGTGTGATATTTCCTTTTACATCTTTATTTTCATATTTTCTTTTGTCATGAATTAGTTTGATTATTTCCTTGTAATTAATGTTTTTCTTTGTCTGTTGTTGCCTGTTAGTTTTTGAAGTTTTTTATATGTAGGTTTAAAGTGTCATATTTGTTGCTGAGTTCTTCCAGTTTTTAGCTATTCTCTTTGCCAGCCTTTAGTACAGCCATTCTCATATTTCTCCATTCCGCGCTTCCACCAGTTGCTTTATTTATTTCTGTGTTCAGTAACTGTTTGTAATTGTTGTTTTTTTTGTTTATTTTGGTGGTTTTAACTATTTTCTTTAGTTTTATGCTGACCTTTGCCAGCAACAGATTATGGTGCGTATCTGCATCTGCGCTTGGATAGGCTTTTGTACTTTATACTATATTCCTAAACGTTTTGTTTATCTTCATAAAATCTATTTGCTTTCTGATTATTTTGTTAGTATGTATTTGTAGTTGCATTTGTTTGTAGTACATATTTGATATGACAAATTCTTTCTCCTAACAGTACTGACTAGTCTATCTACAATCTCCTTTCATTTTCCTAACCCAAAGTTTTCTACTACGTTTGCTGTTTTCCTTTGACTAACTTTAGCATTAAAGTTCTCCTTGATTATTTTTACTTCCTGATTTTTTATGTGTTTTGTTAAGAACTCTAAGTCCGCGTAGAATTTTTCAACTTCAGCATCATTGGTATTAGTTGTTGGAACATGAATTTCAATTAGATTTATTTTTAAGGGTTTGGTTTTGAGCTGAAGTGACATCAACCGTTCGTTAAAAAGAATAAAGTTGTCACATACTCTTGTAATTTCTTGTTAATAGAACAACTTGTCAATACCAACACCATGATTGTGGGCTTCAATGCTTTTACCTGAGTAGAAAACATTGTTGTTTTCCTTAGTGTAGTTTCTTGAATTTGGCCATCGAACTTCTGAAATACATAAGACTTGTATCTATAATCTTCTACTATGACTGTTGCTAGTTCACCTGCTACATAAAGTGTTTTGATATTCCACGTTACTATGCGTTTTAAATTACTTATACCAAATTTTGTACAGAATTATACAGAATTATGTCAGACAGAAAGCACAAGAACTAAGAAAGGAAGGGAGAAAAGTGAAAGTAGGATATACGAAAATATATTTCGATCAGGAAATGTGGCGCTGGGATGGCATGAACCAAACGTTGGTGGTAGAGACCAAAGCAAAAAACTAAGCACTCGCATGAAAAGGAAAATAATGAAGACAAACAATGCGATGAAAAGCATTACGAACTATGAAAACGAAACAAAACAAGATAGTAATACAAAAGTAAAGTCGAAGAATGACAAGATACATTTAACTACATGGAATGTCAGAGGAACCTTTTATAAAGGTGCGCTAAAAGAACTAATGAATGAGGCAAGGAAGTATAAAATCGATTTAATGGCTCTTCAAGAGACAAAACAATTAGGATCGGAAATAACTGATATAGAAGATATGGTGCTTTTCAAAAGTGGAGGTAAAGATAAAATACTTGGAACTGGTTTTTTAGTAGCTTAATGTATCAAGGACAAAGTGATAGCTTTTAATCCTATCTCTTATAGGATGTGTTCAATACGAATTAAAAGTAAGAAAAGGAATTGGAGTATAATTAATATTCATGCACCGCCAGAAGACAAGGACGACGAAATAAAAGATCTTTACTATGAACAGCTAAATGATGAATACGAGCACCTACCTAAACGTGATGTAAAAATAATATTGGGTGATTGTAATGCTAAAGTGGGAAAAGAACCTCTGTGCACTGCAGTAACTGGTATCTACAGTAAACACGAAGTAACAAACGATAATGGTCAAAGACTTATTGGATATGCCATGGAGAAAAACATGGTGATGAGAAGCACACAACTAAAACGAAAAGAGATATACAAAGGTACGTGGGTCTCCCCAGATGGAAGGACGGTGAATCAAATAGATCATGTTATGATTGAAAGTAAATATATGAATATCGTTCAGAAGATAAGAAGTATGAGAGGAGCTGAAATCGACTCAGACCATTACCTCGTTAAAGTCACATGTGTGAGGAGGCTGGAAGAAACAGAGAAATCGAACAATAAAAAGAATAGAAAAGTCAATATTGAAAAAATTAAGGAAGTAGAAATAAAAAATAAATATGAAGAAGAAATAAATAAAATTCTACAACAATGTGACCAAAATTTACAGACAGATGAAGCCTGGGAACAAATAAAAACTGCCGTAGTAGAAGCTAGCGAAAAAATAGTGCGACTCATAGAGAAGTACAAACAAAGATTGGTTTGACGAAGAGTGTCAGGCGATAGCAAAGGAAAAGAAGAAGATCAGACAACAAATATTAACAGATAATAGAGAGTGTAAAAAACAAAAATATAGAATTGTTCGAGGAAGATTGAAAGCTCTGTGTAGAAGAAAAAAGAGAAACCACAAT